TTTATATATTTGCTGGCAGTATTTGTTGGTTAGAACTTTTTGCCGAGTCTCCAGATCTTGAAGCTCTGTTTCCATCTCGTCAATTTCTTTTTCGACTTTACGTAGCGAGTTCTCGATTGGTGGACTATTCGTGAACGTGTCAATATGGATGACAGTCGTCTTCTGAGTGCCTCTCTGTGAGCATATTACCTGCCTGATTATTGCTCGTCCAACTGAACAATGTGCGGGCTGGAGTACGTCACTCTAGATTTGCCTGGTTGCAACTTCCTCCTTATCATCTGGCCTGTCAATGCCCAAGTGAAAGGTGTGTGTGTGTAGCATTCTTACTGCGCTGACTTTGGTAGAAAACAGGTTCAGGATTTTCGCTTCAGGTATTTCACACAGTTGAGATTCGTGAAGTTATGACGAAGTTGTTGAGTACTTGGTGTTTTGCTTGTTATATCGTCAAATTGGAATGAATAGATAGTATTATTTAGAAAGTATGGTTAATTAATATAAAAATCAATACATAATAACACTTTAGAATTTGGGTGTACAGGGCAGGAACTATTATTTTCACTTTTGATTTGAACATTGACAATTAGTGTTTTAAAAAAATAAACTATATAGATGAAACAACTTTGAAATAACAACAAGTTTTTCATTGTAAACAAGGTGTTAATAAATATTTTGTAAGTGTAAATAGAGCATGGAATATCTCATGCAGTTTAATTAAACCACGTTGCTATCACATAAGCAGGAGGCAGCACACCTGAACTGTATTAGAACTGCCATTGCTTTGTACGCGCTTCATATATTAATAGCCCCTTCTATTCTCGAAGACACAGTTATCAAAGGTCACATGCATATCACAGTTGAGTGTATATGGGCATAAACTATTGGTGTTGGATCGCAAGATGTAAACGCAGTTGGAGTTTATGATGATGGCGTTTTGGCACATACCATACCCTGGTGTTACTGCATACAGTGAAGTGACAGGGTTCTTTCGACTATGCAGACAACCGTGGCCATATATGCTGGCAAGACGTGGCGAGATTATTATTACGTTGTTCATTCCAGTGCCATATATAAAAACTGTGAGCATTACACAAGTTTTCCCACAATGACGCCTACGTGTTGTAAAAAAATGGAACATCATAATCAACGCCAACGACCCTTTTTAGGGCCAACACATCTTCCAAAAAGAGAAATGCCGTAGTTCTAATTTATCAATATTGCATAGGTGTAAAATATTACGAGTGTCTTCATATAACCACGGTTAATAAAAATAATCTTAACATAACGAAAATAAATGTGACCATCGCAGTATTTGAGTGGCATCTGGGATGGTACATTTGTGAGCTGAAGACCCAAGTTCCATGGAAATATTACAGTGACGCACTTAGGTGTTTGTCAACTGATGATCACAATGTAGCGCAAATTATTTATCAAGACCGGAAGCAAGGAAAATTTTATTTTAAAAGTCCCGATGTGTTTACAAACGTACTGAAAATGTGCTAGTAAGCGGATTGGTGTGAACGCAATACAACGGGGCATGAAATATCATACATTATGGCATTTAAGCAAAACGCCAAAATTCGAATGCATGAATAGGGGCAGTTTTTGAGCGCTGAATTGGGAAATTATTATCAAAGAAGTGAAAAACATAGAGGTCATGGTGAATCGTGTGAACTTTCGCGTGGAGCACTGGCGTGCGTTGGTAGAAAATACAAGTTGACAAACGTAGAACAAAGTATTTTAGGACAAGATATTAACAGATTGGGTTCTCCCAAGTTAAATATCGTTCAGAGGTAATAGAGAAAAATCAAGAAACTTGAAACGTACCGGTAACCAGTGGAACCTTGTGTCGAATTCAGTCGCTATGCATCAGATGGTGTCAATTTCACTGGGAATCTATTAGTTGTATCATACTACAGCTTTGTTAAGGGTTCGTCTATTACCCAACGTAATTTTCATCACTTTATTGAAGCTTTTGAAAAAAATGCCGATGGTGAAAACCAGATCTTACGAGCAGGGGATTACATTGTCCTTGACAAATCTTCATTTCAACAAAATGAAGCTGCGGTTGTATGTTCTAAGTGGTTTGAAAAGATGGGAATCGAATACATATTTCTACTTTCTTATTTTCCGACTTC